TGGAGAGCAAATGTTTTGAGAATGATGAGGGCAATGAATGTACAAATGTGCTTTACACAATTGATGTATGTATGGATCGTGATAAGAGTTGTATGAGCCCCTAATAAAATGATTGAGAAAAAAAAGAATCCTCATCTGGAAATCCAGAAGTGCTTGCGAATCCTGCCTCTATTGATCTGCTTTCAAACCTGAGCAAGGTTTTTACCTCCATGAAGCTCTAGAGCATGGAGTGTGCCAGAGGTGGCTTTCCGGGCCTGCCCACAGGGTGGAGCTCCATGCAACCCTCTCAGTTTGGGAATGGGGTGAAATATCTTCATCAGTATTCAGCGTCCTCATTGTGAATCCAATTAAGGCCTGTGAGGATCTTGTTCTTCTGCAGATTGTGGGTCACTATGGATATATGAAGGTTTTCACCACCTGAGAGGACCTACTAGAGGTTATGAAAACTAGAGGACACCAGACAATTTTGATGTGGATTTGTGAGGCCTATTGGGCTTTGTCAAGTGTCCACTGTTCTGAGATAGACGGTTCCCCTCATTTCTCATTTCAGGGTCTTCACCTTGATAGCAGACAAATTCTGGATGTCTACCCTTGGCTGACCAGAGACTGATGACCTCATGCTAAGGTCATCAAATTCCTGAAATGTGCAAAGGGGCCAAATCTTTAGAGAGGGAAGCCAGACATCATGGCATCTGGCTTGACTTACCTGACCTCTCCCCGATGTGACAATGTGTGCCCAGACCTGTGGGCACCTATAATCTAGCAAATAATTTCCCCTCAGTCCTCACTTAACGACCACTCCTTGATACCTAGCAAGCTTGTATGTCTGCTTAGACCATAGGTTCCCAAACTTATTTGACTTATCACCCCTTTTTCAGGGAGAAAAAGGGCAAACAAAAATGAGTGTCCCACCCCCACAATTAAAAATGTTTGCACTATAGCCCATAAGACAAGATAAAGTGTAGGTACCTACTCCTGCAGCCCACACCCCTGGATAGACTAGCACCCCCAAGGGTCTATTTTGGAAGACACTGGCTTAGACTTAGTTTTGGATCTCTGAGATTGCGTGAGACTAAGTGAAAGGTTGCTCAGTCTAACAGCCCTGCCTATCTAGGTCCTAGCCCTACCTAGGACTAGCTAGGTCATAACAGGACAAATTAGGTCACTAGGATCCCTACATACTTGGTCCTGCTGTGTCTTAACTCATTAAGGTCCTTATATTGGCTCCATATCGTTAATGAAAGACTTCAGATGAAATGTCACATATCTGTAACTCATGAGCATTTTCTCGATGTTATACCTTGTGGACAGTGTGCCCTTGTTTGAGAAGAATGAAGCACAAGACAGGACAAGTGGGCCTTCAGAGAAAGCACACATCATTATCTCACCACCCAGATTTAGTCTTTTATGCAGCTATGTTCTGAAATATTTACTTTCTATAAGCAGGGGATCCCCAGCATCATTTTGTGATCTTTTAAGGTTATCTGACATTCCATATGTAGACAACAATCTTGCCACCAATATTAACTTGCCTTTTGGCTCTATAATATAAACACTGGGTTTAGTTGCAAGCTCTGTAGTTCAAACCCAGCAGACCGTCCACCGGAGAAAGCTGAGATTGCCTGGTTCCTGTAAAGATTTGCAGTCTTAGAAGCCCTAAGGGGGTGTTCTACTCTCTGACAACTTTGAGATGAATAAAATGATATAATGGCAAAGGTTTGGGGTTCTAATTTTTTTTGGATGCCTACTTCGAATTTTTTTTCACATTGTTCTAATTTGGCAGGCTCCTATATTCACTAAAATACTTTTTTTTTTTTGCTGATGAGAGGAAAATAAATTTAAGAGACACAAGGCCTGCCTCTGGCTTGAAGGACTGAAAAGGTGTGGTCCAGACAGATTCTGCAAGAGGTTTGGTCCAGCAATGCTACTTATCAACCTTGTGAACTTGAGACTTATACACGTTCTTATTTTGCAAAGTATGGATGATAAACACACCTTGTTGGATTATGGGAATGTATGTAGTGTAATACAGGGCATTTAGTAACTGGTGGGGAAATATTGTGTTTACTGAATTGCGGTGGGCATCTGGTTATTTTGAGCTCAGAAAAGACAACTGTTTCATCACAATTTAAAATTTTCTTTATTTCTAATCAAGTATATTTCTGAAAATATGCAGTGCTCCAACTAAAACACAAAACAACTCCTAAATATTTTAATCAAATCCAGCCGTGTGTGTGTGTAACTTTTAATTTTGCAGACAAGTACGATTAAAAAAGAATAAGGCAGCCCAAGAACTTCTATACTTTTCATTCATTTCTTTCATTTGTGATCCTAACAAACTTAATCTGGGGTTAGCTCAATGCTAAACTACTTAGTTTTATAAAATAAAGGAATTGCTGATGTTTTTTCAAGTAATTGTAGATGGCCATGCTAACTCTTATATCTGATAACCAACAAAAACACGATGACCATGAAGGATATTCATGAGCTCACACTCTGAAGCAAAATAAAATTTAGGTCAAAAGGCACAACATTTGAGAGAGAACAAACTACAAGTTACTGGTACACAACAGAAAATAATACATTGTGTTTCTTCTAAGCTACTTCTGAATGTACTACTTGGAAGCCCTGTCAACTACTGTGAAGGATCTTCTCCCACTTCACTAGATCCTGGTGAAGCCACTAGACTTGGGCCTGAACTCTCAGTGGTGTTAGAAGTAGAATGGACCCTGCAGGCAAATCACCGTCGGGCTCTCCTTTTCTCATCTCTCAAAGCCTCTTCATAAGGACCAGGGAAATCCCAGGGATTCACACCTTTCAGCATGGCCAAAAACTCCAGAACTCTCATCTTGGTGGTTTCAGCACATGCCCTTGGACCCCACAGGAATTCATAGCGTGGAGGACGACTCTTTCGCACCTGCTGGTACTGCAGGTATCTCGACAGCACAAAATCAAACACCAGGAGCTTCCTGGGCTCTCCAAAAATATCTTTCATACTCCCAGCATAGATTCCCAGCATATTCAGGAACTTCCAGATGGATTCTTCAGAGGCTCGGTTACCATTCACGAAGATCACACCCAAGACAGTCATCAACAGACTCTTAATAGGCAACTGCAGGCCTCCATTCAAGTTGTTTCGTTTGGTGACATCCACCATCCCGAAGAGCTCATAGGCGTTACATCTGGACTTAGCTTCCCTCAATTCAAGGCCAAAGAACAACTTTATGCGCTCCGCGGCTTCGCTCAGGATCTCAGGGAAGTGCTTCTGGAACTTCTTGCTGACAACCTTCAGCATTTCTGCCTTCATAATGGGCTCTTTCATGTTATACTTGTCTACCAAGAACAGCAGTAACATGCATATCTTTCCCGTCAGATCTTTGTTAGGCTTCTCAGTGGAAGATGGGCCCTGGGCAGGGCTGGGGCTTTCCTCATCTTGAACCTTGGCATCTACATCAGATCTATTGGACAAAACAGCTGAAGCAGGAGTAGTGGCTTCCTTAGGCTCCTGCAAAACACCCTCAAGCGAGGACCTCTGGGGGGTGTCCCCCAAAACAGCGGAGGGAGAAGAGGGTCCTTCCTCCTCCATTGTAGTGGCCTGAGCACCCTGGGCAGCCTGGCTTTGCCCTCGGGCCTGTTGGCGTTTCTCACGGGCACGGCGCTTACTCTTCTGACCACGAGGCATGGTGACTCTCTTGAGATCTCTGTGGAAGAAGTGGCTGTTAAATTCACAAACACCAAGTTGATTCTGACTCATAGGGACCCTGTAAGGTAGAGTAAAACTGCCCTTGTGGGTTTCTGAAACTGTAAATCTTGAAGGGAATAGAAAGCCTCAATTTTCTCCCAAGGAGATACTGGTGGTTTTGAACCTCTCACACTGTGGTTATCAGCCCAACATGCAACTCCCTACCCCACTAGCCTTAGGACATAACCAAGAGGGTCATAATGTCCACTGTTAGCAGGACCTGGGTCCCCTTTGCTTTGCTAAGCTGATGTTTTGTTTGTTTGACAGGAACTTGTTTGTCAATAAAGAAAAAAAATGTCCATTTCAGTTTTACTTTCCCCCTATATTTTTATTACTTTTTTATAGCCTCTTAGACCACTATAAAGATTTGAGGGATAAAGAATTGGTAGGGATTTTTTAAAGATTTTTTTTTAATTTAAGAAATGCACTGTATATGTTTACACAGTCCGTATCAAGCAACAAAATCACCAAGGATGTCTTGTTGAACCCCCCATATGGGTGATTCTCTTTCTTTTTCTACCCAGCCCCTCCTCCCTCCTTCCTCAATGTGCTATCCTGCCCCACTCCCTATTCTGGCCCTTGTGCCTGGCCCTCCCTGGAATCCAGAAAGGCGGGAAGGGGAACAGGAGACCACCATCACATGCAGAGCACAGGATGTGCTGACAGTACAGGTTGAGGTCCTGTGGTGAATGGACCTGCAGGCCTCATTCAAGCCTTCACTTTGACTGACAGGTGCTACGTTTCAGCCCTCCCTGAGATGTGACCACTCCCTCTATGCAAAATCCTCATTTCCCTGGGATCGCCAAGGAGAAACTGGAAGAGGTGGGAGATTCCTGTTGCCGTTATGGTACTTACTGTGACTTCTGGGGTGACCTGGAAATCTGTCTTCCGCTGACTGAAGACCAATCTCTTGTAGTAAGACCGAGGCCTCCAACTCTGGAGGTTCCTGAGGACAAAGTAAGGTTGAAGGACAGACTTGGACCCACCCAGCATCTCCAGGGGTGCATGGTGGAGGAAGGGCTGAGGATCCCAGAGTACAAAGGTGATGGAGTCTTTTCGGACAACCAGTAAACTCCCTATCACGATAAACAAACAATGATAAAAACTTCGCCATTTGATCGATTCTGACTCATAGCCACTGTGTAGGTGGTAAAAAACGGACCCTTTACCCTTTGGGTTGGTTTCCCAGTCTGTGAATCATTCTGGGAGCAGAAAACCTCATTTTTCACTCACACACCGGTTGGTGTGTTCGAACCGCTAACCTTGCAGTCAGCATCACAATGCATGTTCCACTATGCCATCAGGGCTCTCTAACCACTAGGGAAGTGTCTGGAATTTAATAAAACAGCCCTTGAATATTAGTTCCTCTTTGTAAAATAGCTAACAAAAACCAAACCTATCCCCATCGAGTCAGTTCTAGTTTTCCGTGAATTCTAGTTTTAAAAGAAACAGACTCCCTGCCATGGAGCGAATCCCTGCGCACAGAAGCTTAGAGGACAGAGTACAACCACCCCTTGTGCTTCCTAGCCTTTCACTCTTCCCAGGAGCAGCCAGCTGCATCTGTCTCCAGCAGCGTGGTTCGCAGGCGCCTGCTCCCCAGACCCCCTTCCGACTCCAGGTCAGGCCTGAGGTCCTGCAGGAGCAGGAGTCCTCATCCCCTTGGACTTCAGGCGGAAGTGAGGTGGATTTGGGACACAGTAACCGGGCTTGGACCTCACACCGCTGACAGAGGAGGCGATGGCGCAGGACTCGATCGGGTGACTGGTTCTTGGGGTGCAGCCTCGCAGTTTTAACTAGGGGTTCTCACCCGGACTGGCAGCTGCTTCTGTACTCGGGCTCCCTCTGCTGGGCGAGGGCCGCGCCTCCCAGACAGGCTCCGGCCACAAGGGAGCAGTGTGACTCCTGGCCATGCCCCCAGGGCCTGCCTTGGAGGTCAGCAGGGGAGGGGTGCCTTGGGGCTCCCTCTTTTACTGCTGGGGGCGGGGCTGTGAAGGGGTTCCACAGAAGTCACTGCAGGTTCTCTGATTGACAGGACCTGGACATGGCTCTGTCTCTCAGTTGACTGGGCGAGTTTCAGAAGAAGGTTTCCATTTCCTGGGCATCCCTAATCTGAAGGAAGAGAAAGGCTAGGTCTAGCAGCCCTGTAGGAGGGCTCCCACCCCTAGAGTAGGGGCTCTGGGGTCAGTGGGGGTGGGCGCTCGTGGGGACAGGGCTCTGGGGCGAGGCTCTCAGAGCCCCTCTCTTTCTAGTCAATCCCAATGCATTCTTATCTTGTTTAAAACTTTCTAATCAAAGGAACTGCATTTGATAACAAGAGAAATGAAGAGCGGGATGCCGAGCAGGGCATAGGGAGGGAGGGAGGAGGCAGAACGCATTCAGAGTCCCCCACGCAGAACAGGAGCACAAAGATAATATTGACTGTGCGCTTTCTTCAACCCCGTCCAAGGTTGCCACTCTTCAATGTCGACAGACTGTTTTCCTGTAAGGAAAAGAATCTGCCGCAGATTGCAGCATTTGAAATTTCTCCTTAAAAGGGGGAAAGAAAGGTAACATTCTAAGTTATATGTGTAGAAAAGGAATTAAAAGAGGATATATATATATATATATTTATTTTCTCCAATGCTAATCTGATGCTCCACTACTAAAATATTGTCAGCCTCTTTTTTTTTGTCAGCCTCTTTTAACCAAGAAGGGATGAATCTTTTTTTTTTTTTTGTTACCTTTCACTTAGGCCAGGGGGTTCAGCTGCTCTGGCCCAGTTTCAACCCCTGGCTGCGATTCTGGCTTGCAGCCTCTCCTCCTCCTCTCTCAAAGCCTCTTCATACCAGGGTGATAAAACACTGGGGTGGTGTCACTTGTGGTGGCCAAGAACTCCAGGACTTTCATTTTGGTGGGCTCAGCGTAGGCTGTAGGGCCCCACAGGAATTCGTAGTGTGGGGGATCTCCATTGGCCACCTGCCGGTACTCCAGGTATTTCAGCTGCACAAAATCATGGGTAAGAGCTTTCTTGGGATGTCCGTACATGCAGTGTGTCTTGTCAGCATATACCCCCATCATATTCAGCACTTCCCAGACCTCCTCCTCAGAGGCACAGTTCTCCTTCAGGAAGATCGCACTCAGCACCATCAGCAGGAAGCCAGTCTGGATAATGCTGACTGCATAGAGAATCCTTTCATCCACGCTGAAATCCAGCTTGTTGATAAAGGCATAGCAGTGCCTGAAGGGATCCCGTTCCTTCAGGTCAACACCAAAGGCCAGCTCCAGGAGCACAGAGGCTCTCTTGTGGAACTCAGGGAAGTGATTTTTTGTATGCTTTGAGAACAGAATCCCCCATGTCTGCCTTCGTAACTGGTTCTCTCATTTGATACTTCTCCATCAAGAGCATCACCCACAAGACCACCTTCTTTGTTAAAGGATCTTTGTTGAGGCTTCTACTGGCCTGAGGGGAGCTGGGATTTCCCTCACCATCTTCATGGGCATCTGTGAATGCAGCAACTGCAGCTCCCTGGAAGGACAGTGGAGAGCCCTCTGTCCCCCTGATAGGCAAATTCTGGGAGGGGAGTTTGCTGAGTAGCTTGATCATCCTCTAGGGCAGGAGTTCTCAAGCTGTGGGTTGCGACCACTTTGGGAGTTCTAATGACCCTTTCACAGGGGTCGCCCAATTCATAACAGTAGCCTAATGACAGTTATAAATTAGCAATGAAAATAATTTTATGGTTGGGAAGGTTACCATAACATGTGGAACTGTATTAAAGGGTTGTGACAAGAGGAAGTTTGAGAACCACTGTTCTAAGGTATTGGTCCCATTTGAGGCCTGGCACTTTTTCTCCCCGGTTAGGAACTTACTCTTTTTGCCGCGAGGCCTGGTGTCTTCTCCAGAGCACAGGCAGTTGCACTGCTGAAGAGCTCACCCTTGAAGAAAAGGATGGGAAGTGTGGAGACTCAGGAGGGAGATTCTGCCATAACTCCAAGAAAAGCTATTTCAACAGGTACAAGAAGGGGTTGGGCAGGACTCTGAGACCTTTTGTATTATTTCTGGGGTTGGCAGTTCAGAATGCTCCCTTGGACTCCTGAGTGTTCTGCGGACTCATCACTGACTTGATCGGAGACTGCCTGCGTCAGACAAAAGCCTCCCTTCCCACAACCTCCCAGGATGAAGTCAGGGGGCATTGGGTCTAACAGACATGTCTCTGGCCTCCCTGGAGATGATCATCGGGGTGGGGCTCTATCTGACTTCCTCTGTCCACCCAAATCTTACTTGAGATACATACCTTGACACCTGGTAGGACCTCAGACTCCTACATATCTCAAGCCTTGGCTCTTAGAACATAGTGTTTCTTCTCACAGCTGCCAGAACCTCCAGTCCTGGGGTTACTGCGCTCACATGGGGTGTGGCACTATGGAGCTGCCTATGTTCTGCTCCACAGAATTCACACAGAGGGAGGCATTATTGCCTCCTGCAAACCCTACTAAATAGGATCATCCTGGGATGTCAAGAACCCCATTTGCCCAAAAAACGAAGTAAGGGGGAGCCTTAGCCAAGCACCCATGCTTGGGGGCCTCCCAATGCAGAGAGCAGGGCCTCTGAGGGTCAGAGTTCTGAGGGAGGGAACCCTGTGGCCCCCTCTCTTCAGAATGTGCAGAACCCCCCAATCCTCCCTCAGCACTTTACCTTGCAGGGATCTCTTCTCTGCTGATCACAGACCACCTCCTTCAGGTGAGGCAGTAAACTGGGAAATGATTCTAGAGGCGCTGGGTGCCTGTGAGTCAGAACTGACCAGAAGGCACTGGGGTAGGCTTAGGCTTAGACAGTCTTTTTGTTGTTCTAGTCTTCGCTAATAAACATTGTATCCAACTTTGTTCTTTTGATTAAATTGTAAAGGCAAGGCCACACAGTTGCCTTGATAAGGATCCTATTTTTTGTGAGTTCACATGTTAGGCATAAGTTTAGATGTAGCTCCTGTTTTGAATCATATCTTTCCCATGAAACATTCCAAGTCCCTGCATGTCGTTGGTGTGGCCCTAGTGATCTGCCACACCAGCTTTCTGAGGTTTCTTCCAGGAGGGGACATGCCAAAGTTTGAGAGAAGTGCCATTATCTTTTCATGGTATTGTTCCATGAACTTAAAACACAATGACAGCAGCACAGGTTTATGGCATGTAATTCACACACCATACAATTCAATAGATTTATCTTATTTAATTATTTATCTTATTGTGCAATCATCACCCCATTCGATTTTAGGACAATTTCTTCTTTCGTGCACTCATGGTTGTTAGCTTTCCATTCCTCTACCCCCACCCTCCACTGACCCACTCAACCTACACTGTCTCCCCCACCCCCAGGAAACTACTAACACAATTATTGTCTCCACAAATCTATCATTCTTGGATTTGATATACAGAAAATCATACAACACTAAAAACAAAAAAATTAAAGCAGTAACAAAATGAAACAGAAAATCCTCAGTGCAAAAGAAATTCATTAACTGTGTGATGGCTTCTTGGATACGCAATTTCTTTGAAAACTTGTCCTTCTGGATTTCTAAATTAAATGATCATATGATCTCTTTCTTTTCTCTATTCATTCTTTGATGTATTTTGCTATTATTGTATATGGCTGGTCACTGGCTATACATTCCAAACTGTACTATTCTTCTATCTTGGTCTGCGTTTTATTGGGAATGCTTTTAATACTTCACATACAATTATGTTTCC